GTCGATCGGGCCGATATCAGACGCCATGCTGCGCACATGGTAGTTAATGCTTTTTTGAAGATTGTTTATGTTTTAACTAGGCATTTTTAAATACTTTTCATTTTCTTACTACTTCCATGTCCCCCTCTCCTTATATCGGTATTCTATTCCATGTGAGGATACATAGCTCTACCTACTAGTTATACTCCATATCTACTAACGTCGCCTTTTTTCAGGGATGCTGTATCTTTAATGGATGCAGGTGGTACCTCAGCAAGTGGCATCGATTCTCGATAGGTGTGTACCATATTCTCAACTAATTTGGTAAGCCCTACTGTATATCGGGGTCTTCTATTATTTTGATCCTAGTACATTATATTTTGAGGTATAGCTAGGGCTTTGTCATCGGCACTTCCATATTTTCTCATATTAGTCTAGAGGCTCCGTAGACACACTGTGGGTCATGTTACTATGGAGAGAACTATATATGCTAGTTTGGTCATTTACTCCCACTTGTAAGCTAAGGATTTTTATTATTTTGTCATCTATCAATGAAATTTCTTAATTAATGAAAATAAGTGTTGTGCATCCTTATCTTCCCAATTTACTATATCATGTTAATTCTTCTTAAATCACTTATGGATAAGGGAAGAGAGTAGACTCCAAGTAGGCTTTCTTGATTGTGTTACTTTGGTTGGGCCCCGAAGTTTAATGTGTCCTAGGATATCTCGGATCCATGTCTAGTTGAGTCATTCTTATCAGTATAAAGTCGACCACATCTATTATTAGGAGGCTACTTGGGCATTTAGGAATGTCACCTTTCTTTGGTTCTCTAGATCGTTTGATAGAGATTAATCATAAGACTGCCCTTTTAACTCGTGCTTTGTTCTAATTTTCAGTACATGGTGCCTAGGAAAAAGGTAAAGAGTAGCCAAAGGGCCGATTCCACCCCAAGAGTGGCAGTTAATATAGTGCATGGTGTTGTGGGTGAGAACCCAAGGGGTGAAGGCACTACCCAACTACACCACCTCCTACTTCTAGTAATCATGCTGAGATTCTGACCAAGAATGAATAGATGCCTCAACAAATTGATACACTAGCTCTACCTCCAGCTTCATCCGCCTGTCCTAGTTCTTCTGTTGGAGACCTTAGGGGAGTCATCCAATTGTTGACTCAGATAATGGCTTCCCAAGCTTAGAGATTGAATGCTATATCTACTTCCTCCAGTCACCAAGGGGATTTAGCTAGTTTTAGAGTGAAGAGATTCCTCCGGTTAGATCCTCTCGTGTTCACGGGTACTAAGCTCGAGGAGGAGCCACAGGAGTTTATTGATGATATGCACAAGACCATTCGTGTGGTGCATGCCACTGAGACATACGCAATGGAATTGGCCTCTTATTGCCTGAAGGAAGTGTTGTATACTTGGTATGAGTTGTGGGAAGAGTCGCGCAAGGAAGGTGACCCTCTGGAAATGTGGAATGAGTTCACGAATGCCTTTATTGATTATTTATTACCTACTGAGACCAGGGAAGCCGAGCCATCGAGTTCGAGAATTTGAAGCAAGGAAACATGAGTGTGCGGAATTACCACCTGAATTTTGTGAATCTTTGAAGGTATGCTCTCTTCATGTTGCCCACTTTGGAGGCTAGGATGCGCCGATTTGTGCAAGACCTTAGTACATTGGTTATCAATGAGGTTTCTACCGCCGACTAGAATTCTAATATGACTTATAGGATGATGGTGGCATTATCTCACGCCACAGAGACCCGAAAGTTTAAAAGTAGGATAAAACGAGATAGTAACAAGAAGGCCTGGTTCGTGGGAAACTTTGGTGGTTTATTCAGTGGTGGTAGTGGTGGAAAGGCATTGTTTAGGAGAGAGTCATCTGGTCTGTCACATCTAGTTTCTCAGTATTCAACTAGTGCACCGCTATCAGAGCCTAGTCAGCAACAATGGGGCCATATCAAGCCAAACTAGGGTAGTATGGGACCTTATCAGCATATTCAGTCAGGTGAGAGTCTCAAGCCACAGTAGAGGCCCATATGTTCTAAGTGTGGGAGGAAGCATCCAGGAATAAGCCGCATTGGCTCGGGTGTGTGCTACGGGTGCAGTCTTAGCGGTTACGTTCATAGAGACTACCCTTCATCTCGATAGAATGCTTGTAGGGTTGTGGTGCAGCCAACCAGTTCAGCGGTTACTACTTTTACAGCACCTTCCCCAGCTCTAGGTACTCCGACACTCGTAGGGTGTGGTGCAGCTAGAGGTGGTACATAGGGTCCAAGAGGACCTAGTAGATTCTATGCCATGTTGGGCCACTAGAGTTTAGACACTTATCCAGATATTTTCATACATATGTTGACCATACAATCTCATGATGTGTATGCTCTTATAGATCCCGGTTCTACATTATTGTATGTCACTCCTTATGTTGCCATGGAATTTGGGATAGAATAAAAACTTCATGAGCCGTTCTTAGTATCTACTCCAGTTGGTGAATCTATTGTGGTCACACATGTATATAGGGACTGTTTTGTCACACCGCGTGATCGATACACCATAGCTTACCTCATTGAATTGGTGATGGTGGATTTTAATGTGATAATGGGGATGGACTGGCTTTACTCATTCCTTGCTAAGATTTATTGACGAACCAAAACTATTAGGTTTGAGTTTCTAGACGATCTATTCATTGAGTGGAAGGGGTATGACGTCGTGCCAAAGGGATGGTTTATTTCTTACCTTAAGGCCATGAAGATGATTAACAAGGGATATGTCTACCACCTGGTCCAAGTCACGAACACCGATGTTGAGGCACAGACATTTCAGGAGATTGACTTCGGGATAGATGTTTATTCGGGTACACGACCTATTAAAACAATCCTATAGAATGGGTTCGGTAGAATTGAAGGAATTGAAAGAGCAGTTGAAAGACTTTCTAAAGAAGGGTTTCATCTGACCGAGTGTGTCACCTTTTGGCGCACCCGTTCTCTTTGTAAGGAAGAATGATGGATCGTTAAGGATGTGCAACGACTATCGGTAACTCAAAAAGGTCACCATCAATAACAAGTATCCATTGCCTAGGACAGATGACTTATTTGATCAATTAGATGGTGCCAAGTACTTCTCCAAGATTGACCTAAGGTCGGGGGTATCACCAATTGAAGATAAGAGAGAAGGATATTTCGAGAACACCTTTCAGTACCTAGTATGGGCACTTTGAATTTCTGGTGATGATTTTTGGGCTAACGAATGCGCTTGCTGCTTTCATTGATTTTATAAATTGAGTCTTCAAGCATTTCCTTGACTCATTTTTAATAGCGTTCATTGAAGATTTCCTTGGGTCATGTAATAGCGTTCATTGAAGGGGACCATGCCGATCATCTCAAGGTGGTTTTGCAAACTATAGATCAACACAAGTTATATGAGAAGTTTTTGAAATGTTAGTTTTGGATCGAGTCCGTCACTTTCTTGGGTCATGCAGTCTCTAGTGAGAGAATCAAGGTTGATCCTCAGAAGATTGAAGCTATGAAGAATTGGCCTAGACCCACGACTCCGATGGAGATTTGCAGTTTCTTATTCTTCGGCTTAGCTGGATATGACAGGAGGTTCTTGGTGGGGTTCTCTTCTCTTGCCTCTCCCTTGACTAAATTAACGCAAAAGGCAGCTAAATTTCAATAGTCAGATGCTTGTGAAAAGAGTTTCAAGAGTTGAAGCCAAGGTTGACCATGACACATGTGTTTGACCTTATCGTAAGGTACATATGTGTTCATCATATATTGCGATGCTTCAAGGGTTGGAATCGAGTGTTTATTAATGCAACATGGCAAGGTGGTTGCGTATTCTTCAAGCAACTCAAGAACCACAAAAAGTATTATCCAACACACGACTTAGAGCATGCGGTAGTGGTGTTTGCATTGAAGATTTGACATCATTATCTGTATGGGGTCAATGTGGATATATTCATGGACCATAAGAGTCTTTAATATATCTTTAAGAAGAAAGAGTTGAACCTAAGGAAAAGGAGATGGCTTGAGTTACTTAAAGACTACGACATCGACATTATTTATCACCCATGAAGGCTAATGTTGTGGCTGGTTCTCTTAGCTGAAAGTCTATGGGTAGTTTGGCTCACTTGGAGGCACACTAAAGGACGATGGCCAAGGAAGTTCACCGGTTGGCTAATTTGGGAGTTCAGCTCGCGGAATCTATTGAAGGTAGGATGATTGTGCAAAATAGAGTTGACTCATTGCTAGTAGTGGAAGTTAAGGAAAATCAATATAATGATCCATTCTTGGTGCAGTTGAAGGAGGGGATTCATAAACACAAGACCATGGATTTTTCTCTTGGCATGAATAATGGTGCGCTAAGGTACCACGAGCAATTGTGTGTTCCAAATGTGGATTGTCTCCAAGAGAGAATCATGACCGGGGCTCACAGTTCCAAGTATTCTGTGCACCCGCCTCTACAAAAATGTACCATGATCTCAAGGAAGTCTACTGGTGGAATGATATGAAAAGTGATAAAGTGGACTTTGTGGCCAGATGCTCAAATTGCCAGTATGTGAAGGCCATGCACTAGAGGCCTGGCGGTTTGGCGCATAATATAGAAATTCCTATATGGAAGTGGGAGATGATCAACATGAACTTTGTGGTAGATTTACCTCGCACACATCTTAAGTTTGACTCAATTAGGGTGATTGTGGATAGACTCACGACGTCAACACATTCCTTGATAACTATGTCAAGGATATAATTATATTTCATGACACTCCAGTTTTCATCATATCGGACCGAGGGGTACAGTTCATCACTAACGTTTTGCAGAATTTTGAGCAAGGTTTGGGTACTCAGGTGAATCTTAGAACAACTTTCAATCCACAAACCCACGGTCAAGCCGAGCAAACTATACAAAAACTTTAGAATATGCTATGTGCTTGTGTTCTTTACTTCAAGGGTAGCTGGAATTATCATTTGCCGCTCATAGAATTTGTCTACAATAACAACTATCATGCCAACATTCAAATGGCACCGTTCGATTCTCTCTGCAGTAGAAGTGGTAGATCCCATATTGGTTGTTTTGGAGAAAGAGAAGCAGAATTTATAGGGCTAGACCTCATGCATCAAGCTATGGAGAAGGTCAAGATCATCAAGGAATGGGTGAGAATCGCTCAAACCCACCAGAAATCCTATTAAGATGTGCGACACAGAGACTTAGAGTTAAAAGAGGATGACTGGGTGATTTTGAAGGTTTTCCCCCATGAAAGGTATAATGCGATTTGGGAAGAAAGGAAAATTGAGTCCAAGGTCTATCGGACTTTATAGAATCTTGCAGAAGATTGGTCAAGTAGCATATAGGCTAGAGTTACCTCTAGAGTTGTCATTAGTACACCGAGTATTCCATGTGTCTATGTTAAAGAAGGTGGTTGGAGATCCATCGCTCATCGTCCCTGTGGAGGCTATTGAAGTTAATGTAGAATTGACTTATGAGGAGATTCCGGTTGCCATCATTGATAGAAAAGTTCGTAAGATGAGGAATAAAAAGATTGCTTCAGTCAAAGTGCTATGGCAAAATCAACAAGCCGAAGAGGCTACCTGTGAAGCAAAGAAAGATATGGAGAGGAAATATCCTCACTTGTTTGTAGAACCAAATGGATGTGCTTAAAAGAATGTTAGAGTTTACTTTTCTATGAGCTATGTTCTAAACCTGTATAACTTATTTTAAGATTCTCCTTTGGCAATTTAATGCACATGATGTTATGATTGGTGTTGTTTTTGTGTTTGTGATATTTTGTTGAGTTGTGGATGCATTGTTAGGATTGGTTTATGTGGCTCTCTGACAGGTGGATAGGCCCTGATACAGAGGAAACTCTGCCAAAATTTTTGAAAATTTGGGGAGTTAATCAAATTCTGACCTATTGGTGCATTTATAAGGAACTAAGTCGCTTTGGGTGTCTATCCAGACTCTAACCCTCATTCGATGATGAATGATCCTAAGCGGGAGAGAATGTAAGACCCCGTAAAAGTTAGCCAAGGATTTTAGGATTTTCCAGTGCCGGGGTCAAGCTAAGATGTTCGGAAGGTGATGGGATGAGTTTCCTCGCTGTGGTACAAATTTATGGATTGTGCAATGCATCGTGAGGTGGGTAAAGAATTGGCATGAGATGGCGATTATGCTGATCCCAAATCTGTTTCGCTGACCGCAGAATCATCGTGGATTGAGGCAGAAGCAAACTAAATTTTGAGAGTTATATCGGTAGGTTATGTAGACCTTATAGCTATTTTGTGGACCTCATATCCATCACAGAATCGGTAAGTCCTCCTGGGGAAATTTTGAAGGAGATTTCACGGTCGAATGTGAGGACCTCAGAACCCTTATGCGACCCAGATATCCACCGCATACATGTCCATATCAAACTCAAATCTGGAGGACCATTTCAAGGTCCATATCGCGGACCGCATAGGCGATTTGCGGTCTATTATGCAATCGCGGATTTGACTCGGAGGGTAATTTTTGGGAATTTCTTAACCCGACTATATATTAATTAAAGGCCTTAAGGGTCATTTTAGAGGGTAGAGTCTGATATTTTGATAGACAGGTAGCAATATATATATATATA